AATGCTGGTAAAATAGATCACTGTAACTTACAACAGCTGACCATATCAGTGGATGCTGCTTCAATGTTGTACTAATACTAAAAGCAGAGGCCATACAAGTATGATGTTTCCAAGAGACGCGGCCAGCCCAAGTAAGTTCCCTTTCATGAAGGATAACCATGACCGGCTCAATATAACCTGCATAAAGGCGCATTACAAAGTTCAAACTGGCAACATGAGTAACTGCAGGTGGTGGAAACAAAAGAAGAGCTTTAGACTTGAAGGACAACGTGAATCACCATTATCAATAAATTAATTAGATAGGAAAAATATAAGATTATGAAAGAAATAGAAGTCAACCAATCTACTTGTCGCCAAATAGACGTCAACTGAATCAGTCGTCATTGTGAAGACGCTCATCAAAGTCTTCTTTTTTTTCCCTTTTTTTGGGACAACCGAGAAATCTCCAAGGGCCAGTTGTTGCATTGATCGAAATTCGGGTCCCACCCCTCTACCCTCCTCCAATTAAATACTTAGCTTTTTGTTCGCGGTAGGGTTGGCACTCGTGATGTGCGTCTGATCCACACATCATGAGCTGCGCTCTACCACTGAACAAAGCCCTGGGGCACCATTAGAGTACATTTTCACAGCCAAGAAATATAAATCTATTACAGAAGATAACAAAAATGCTCCAGTTCTGATATCTGTTAAGAAGTTACAATATGTTATAACAAAGTTTACCCATGTACATTGACCATCACCATTTACATGGGGGAAAAACAGAAATCCAAGACTCTCTAATGTTCAACCTCAGTTTTATTCTTGCAATACCAGCGGAATAATGACTGTGTGATAGTGCTCTCTCCACGTTATTAAAAATCAATGGGGAAGGGGGAAAAAGTTTAAAATGATACAGGAGGAACAGCTGGGGTATACCTACCATGAAGAAATATGAAATCTTTGACATGCCTCACATCAAGATCCCGTAAGGTGATGATATATGATGATTCGATGCGAGCTGAGGCACCTCCAGAACTAAAAGCACTGTCCTCACCAACTAAGCTAGAATTGATCTAAAATAAGGATAAATCACTTGAAATTATAAGCAAATCATGATAATCCAAACCACATAGATGGAAAGAGTAGTAGTTCAGGCATATTGACTTAATCCTTTCAATTACACAAAGAGAACCACACCAACAGATTACGACACTTTAGCATGCTATTCACAATATTTTTTCTTTTTTTTATATCGGTGGTGTCTGGACCACCGAGCAGCCTATCTGATCCCCTAGCACAGGTTGCCAAGTAATCTTGCACACCAATGCTAGAGCAGATTGGCTCACACGTAGTGTGGCAGATTGTATTTGAACCTGGGATCTCCAAGTTGCCACTCCTATTCCTCAACCACTATGTCATTCCCTTGGTGACTACTGTAGACACAATACTATAGATTCAGTCACTCCCAAATCTCAAGGATATACATATCATTGACCAAAGAAAAGCAACTATCACCAGATATATTTCTTTTTGACTTGATACTGTTCTCTGTTAGTACTGCCTGTGAAAATTAATCAGCTAAGCTCATAAATAATATGAAAGCAAAAGCTTTTCATTCAATAAATCACCCTTTTCAACAGGCTTAAAATGGGTAATGCCAAGAACTACCACAGAATTGTATAACTGTTGGAACAGAGGTAGAAAGAGGAGCAAGAGGACACTTTGGTGGAACACAATCCCAGCACGCATATGGTGGACTCCTTGGAAGATAAGGAACATCAGATGTTTTGAAGACGAAGCTAACTCAACTCAAGAGATCAACTTTAACCGCACATGTTTGCTTTCTTTTTTCTGTATAGAGGAATTTGTAAATAAAGCAGGAGCAATACTTATGCCTCTTAATATCCTATAAGATTGGGAAGGATTTCTTGTTTTGGTCTTCTGCTCACTAATAAATATTACAGCACCTCCTTAGTGGTAGCTTATATTACCTTTCTCTCAAATAAAAAATAATATTAGGTGAACTGTCCCTTTGTGAAATCAGATAAAATAATATCAAAGTACATAGTATAACAACTTTTATTCAAGTTTCAGCAGTGGGTTCTGCATTCTAGCCTATACTGGTAAGTTATGAATAGGATAACAGGAAGAAGGCTGGCCAGCAATGTCTGACCGTAAATGGTTTTGGCATGATTAGTCCAAAACAATTAGGGATACAGAAGGATTAGTTGGGATAGATGCATCTTCCAAAATATTAAGCAACCAACGTTCAGGTTAGCTAAGAAAGTAAAAAAGGCAGCAAAAGAAAACCTCAGCAGCCTTGAGTATTATCATCTGTTGTTCGAAAGCAAAGACTCCAGCGCATCTTCCCTGCGGATCAACCTTGATAATCGGCCCTTTATCAAATGATTCTCGTCCTCTTTTTAAATGAAACCAGTCTGGACCTTCAAAACAGTGCATTGAGCTGGAAGGAGAGAAAAAAAAGGAAATTTCCAATGTAGTTTGTCAGTTATCATGCTTAAATGATAAAGAAACAGGAAATAGCGGGCAACATACTTAATGTTAAGTGTGAAAGATTTGAAAATTCATAGGGTAGAACGTATTGAGTTACAATTTTGATGAATTTTATAAGGTTATAAGTTTTCCAATTAAAAAGAGCAGAGACTTTAAGAGCAAGTATAACAGTGAACTCAAGTTATAGGTAGCAATATAAATAAATTTGCAGAAGCTGGGAATCTTCATTAAAAGGTCCAATAAGATTACACATCAATATGGAAATCGTGGAGCACCCAGAGTTGTTTAAAAACATAATAACAAGGGAGGTGCTTAAATCTAACAAAATTCACCACCTTGACTAGAACGTCAACAATAATTTTATTTTCCTTGTTCGTGTTTTTAGATGTGGTGCCGGGCCAGCTTTGTGGCACCTCGATTTTTCCACTAGGTACCTACAGCCTCTCTCTTTTTTGGTTCTTTTGGCTCAACATCTCATTTTCCCCAGATGTTTTTGGGCTCACAAATGCATTAGTAGCAGTTTACCTAGTAAGTAGTCCATGTGTGGTGTCGTCGAACTCAAGAACAGACATTTTAGCATCTTCAAAAGTTAAAATAATGGAATCTCTCCTTCTCCCACCATCAACTCCTCCCGCTGTTAACACTCCCATTGAATATATATTTCCATGCAGCCTACACATATTACACACAAAAAAAAAAAACTTTAATAATAAAAATATCTAAAAACGGTCTTATGATATTTTTTCCAAACTGAAATACCTGTAATTGCAAACGAGCTCAAGTGAAGCAGCAGAAATACCGGCCATGAGGCCACCACGTTTCACTTCGGCGGC